ATCGTGAGTTTGTGTGTACATGCCGGAATCTCCGCTCATCTGAAGTTGTGTGTACGTGCCGGAACATCCGCTCACCTATATTTGGGTGTACGTGGCAGAAAACCGCTCACCTAAATTTGGGTATATCTGGCGGAATCACCGCTCACCTAAATTTGGGTACATCTGGCGGAATATCCGCTCACCTAAATTTGGGTATATCTGGCGGAAACTCCGCTCACCTAAATTTGTGTGTATGCGCCGGAACCTCTGCTCACCTAAATTTGTGTGTACGTGGCAGAACAACCGCTCACCTAAATTTGTGTGTACGTGCCGGAAAATCCACTGCCTTAGTGATGTCCTATCTCGTGAGATGTCCTACATCGCCTCATGCCCTACCTCCTGTGATGCTCCTCCTGGTGTGATGCCCTATCTCCTGTGATGGCCTACCTCCTCTGATGCCTATCTCCCGAGATGCCCTACCTCCTGTGACGCGCTACCTGGTGTGATGCCCTATCTGATGTGCTGCCCTACCTCCTGTGATGACCTGATGAAGCAAGTCTAGATTTTCCACAGGGTCTCACCTTATTAGACTACCGAATGCCAAACCAATCTTTTAACATATTTTGGTATGACACGTCAAGGGATCGAAATACCGACCTTCTGCTCTCTGCATATATAGTTCTGTATAATGTTGCAGGGCATAGTTCAACTGTTGCGTGTCTTATCTGTTGAGTGTATCCGCCTGCATGTTCTTTATGAGTTTCTGATCAAATCTGACCGAAACAGTTCCTTGTCACCTTAACTAGGATAACAATTATAATTTAAGTTACATACTGATAAAAGTTGAATGGCATAACACATCCTTGATCGAGAAATGTATCCGCCAAGTTGAGCCAACGTCGCCGGCGGCCTATGACGTTGACACAAACGTCTCCCTATCACTTCTCCTGAAATATAAACTGACGACTGCATACTTGAATGTAAAAAGTGAACGCCAGTGAATAATCAGCCTCGATTATCTGCTGAAATATTCCTTTGGGTGTAAAAGGAAAAATAGTGGTGACAATTACACTGTATATGAATGGAATCACTCAAAATCACTCAAAATCATCCCCTTTGTCATAAAACTATGTGCAGATATGTCCACTAAGATCTATGTATGAAACTGATGTTTATTCATTTGATCCCAAGTTGTGGAAATGTTTTTCTCTACTTGATGTTTTTTTCAATACATACGGTCTGTCGTGTGGCGGAATGTGGATGGAGGTTTTTGTCGCGTTCACTTTTATCTTTTAACTTGAGTATAAATCACTAATCTATTGACGTTCTATGTTACAACTGTATTTCTAGAAATCAATATACACGACTGCAGTGTCAATTTTGAAACGGAATATATTTCTACCCGAAGTATGTATAATTCATACAGAAAGACGTCCCGGTGTATCAGCTCTCAGTTCAATACTGTTCAAATCTGATCGAAACAGTTCCTTGTCACCTAAACTAGGATAACAATTGTAATTTAAGTTGCATGCTGATAAAAGTTGAATGGCATAACACATCCGTGAATGTATCCGCCAAGTTGAGCCAACGTCGCCGGCGGCCTATGACGTTGACACATACGTCTACCTATCACTTCATGAACTGCCGAGAACACTGTAGGGACGGAGAAGGATTCCCCAGGCCAGAATTCAGAGAATAATATGTCAGTGCCTAGACGGTGCCGTGCGTTTATGCAAGCACGTGATGATCATAACAGATATTGAATTTGACGTCACCACTGACCATCTGTACGATATGTGTTCATAATCCGGAACATAATATAGACAAACTTTGTTGTTCCAACTATGTGAAATTTCATGTTTTACAGAACAGTTGTTCACTTCCTATCATGCTTTGAAATAAACCCATTGGCCATTACATTTTTCAACTATACGTATATTGTTTTGGAGAGTATATTACAAGAAATAATGCAACAGGCATAAGGTGTGAAACACTTCTACAGGAATTGAACAGCTGCTGTTCATTCTAGTTATTTATTTAGTAATGTGAAGTTACATGTATATATTTAGTTTCTGGCCTTTAGCACTTTTTTATTTTGTGCTTTTTGAGTTTGGTTGCTGTCTTCAGTTTCGTTTGATATTAATCAAAAGTAGCTGTATTTGTTTGTTTGGATGGTAGGTTGTTGGTATTTTCAGTTCTGTTGTAGATGATAGAAGGCCGTTTTGTATTAGATTTTGTTTGACCTGTCTAGTCGGGTAATATGATATGTTGAGCTTCATTAATTATAGACTATCCGTGCACTATATCGATCAGAACCTACTTTTTTACATACGTATTCTCTATGTAGGCTTTTTTTATTTGGATTCGTGAAGTAGAAAATTTATTTACTAAGATGTCACGTACTGTTCAGGTACAATTGCACCGAGTTTTTTTGCAGTGGTTGGATAGCAGCTAGCCTCGTATGCCAATGCGACATCACTTATAATTAGAATAGTACAGTAGAATATCATAAAACATCAGTTACGATCACATAACACAAAATTCAAACTAGTAGATAATACATTAATATGACATAAAATGTTTCAAACATTCACACTAGACTATATATACCATACAGGTCAGGATAACCAAATCATATTTCCTACAATACATGATATATACCCAACCTACTTACCGCCCACCAGTTTGCATATAGGTTTTTCGATTCATCAACCTCAATAAAAGGAAAATATTACAGTTAATTTTTAAGTATTGATTCCCATCTTGAAACGTTATGATAACACAGAAAATTGCTAATAACCACAAAGATCAATATAGTAGAACAAAGATTAACTCAGTATAACAGAAATTCACAGGACAGGTGTTTTGAATAAGATAATTTCAGTCAATGCAATCGGACAATATATGATATAATGGGAAAACTATGTGGCAGCAGGTGCTGTACTTTACAATATTAGGTGTGGGCTGGGGACATATACTTTATAGCTCCGTTGGTTGAGGTTAAAGAGTGAGTGAGTGAGTGAGGTTTGACGCCGCTTTTAGCAATATTCCAGCAGTATCACGGCGGGGGACACCAGAAATGGGCTTCACACATTGTACCCATGTCGGGAATCGAACCCGGGTTTTCGGCGTGACGAGCTAACGCTTTAACCACTAGGCTACCCGACCGCCCCTGAGGTTAAAGAAGAGAGAACATGCCTGTGCTCATGTCGCATGTTCCCATGTCACCAATGATCGTTATTCAAAATGTTCAAGAAACCCGAAACTTAAAAGGCATATTATTAAATCTAATCACATGTGTTTATATTGCTAGTATATTGTTTCTAAATTCGGTTTCGCAGCAAACTCTGTGTATGCGTGTAGATGTTGGGAAATGTATTGACAGACGCTGGGAACAGGGGTGTTGGGAGGGAGGGGGTATATTTGGTACAATAAAACTGTTGACATAAACTAGAACAATCATCAAACAAAAAATATAAACCAATAATACATCTTCACTGTAAGCAATCAGCTAAATAAAAGCTAAATATCAAAATATATAAATAGTGAAGAACAAAGCCATGATAGTGAAACCAATAATAAAACAATCTGATAGATAAAGTCATTACGATGCTACACACGTCAGGCTACTTAAATAGTCATAAACCCATAGCGATATACTAGTAGTTATATCTCAAAAACTTAAAACCGAACAGCACCGCAAGAGGCCATCCATCACCTAAAACGGACATGTTCTGTGCAAAATGTACTAATGACAGACACTTGAACGACGAATGACACGAAGAAAATGTATCTTGTCTGTTCAACTGCTAAAATATATGACAACGTTTAAAACAGCAATAATTGGTCGAAAGCGAAAAGCGGAGTGTGGCATCTGTTACTGTACTTGGCTTGTGTTCGCCATACAATGTTTGAAGCGCCAAAACCTTTCCATATCCAATAGAAATTTCTGCACAAAGCAGAGTCGATTGTACGATTCCGACTATATCATGAGCAAGCGTTTGTAAATCACTATCAAATAGTAATGATACCAGGTGTTCGCGAAAAGGTGAGCGTATTCTGCCCCACCGGTGGCACCCGTCACAAACACATGCAAAGGCAAGTCAATTGTTCTCCTGGGAAAAAAACACGGGTACCTCTTGTACAAGTCAAAATAGGGATTTGCATTGGACATCATTTCTGTCACTGATGCGTCAAATTTGGAAATGTCCTCCACATGTCTACCATAAAACCTTTTGAAAGCTTTACTGACGCCTTTAATGATGTAACCTTGATCAAACAACTTCTGAGCAGAGACGAATGACGCTCTTTAAAATCTTTGTTGAACGAGCATGCCCAATTGTATCTCAAAAGTTGTGAAATGTAAACATCAAAGGCTGGAGCTGCTGGAATATTGCTCGACATGAAGGGAAAGTTGACTATTGTAAAGTTAAAGTGACAGAAATACCGTTAGACTTTTAACCAACTTAGTTATTTAGGGCGTTAGCTGAAGTCGGTGTATCATGAAGTTGCCATCTGGTGCCTCAGTAACTGAAATATGTTTAAACAGGAAACTGACGACTGCATACTTGAATGTAAAACGTGAACGCCAGTGAATAATCAGCCTCGATTATCTGCTGAAATATTCCTTTGGGTGTAAAAGGAAAAATAGTGGTGACAATTACACTGTATATGAATGGAATCACTCAAAATCACTCAAAATCATCCCCTTTGTCATAAAACTATGTGCAGATATGTCCACTAAGATTTATGTATGAAACTGATGTTTATTCATTTGATTTCTAGTTGTGGAAATGTTTTTTTCTACTTGATGTTTTTTTTCAATACATACGGTCTGTCGTGTTGCGGAATGTGGAGTTAAGGCTTTTGTCGCGTTCCCTTTATCTTTTAACTTGAGTATAAATCACTAATCTATTGACGTTCTATGTTACAGCTGTATTTCTAGAAATCAATATACACGACTGCAGTGTCAATTTTGAAACGGAATATATTTCTACCCGAAGTATGTATAATTCATACAGAAAGACGTCCCGGTGTATCAGCTCTCAGCTCTCAGCTCAGCGACAGCAAGGTATTGACTTTTGACATCCTGATTCTCAAGGTAATCAAATTTTATTAATATTCTTTTGCAGACCGCTGTTTGTGAGAGTGTTTAACATGATCAAATCGCCATCAATTTATATCAGGTCGGATCATCATACCATTATTAAAGAGCTCTAGGATCAGGGGTTTGTGCATGGTTGTCGCCTGTAATGGCACATCAATGATCACAACTGGCTTGAAGGAATATATCAACCATATTGTGACGCTTCTGGGGACGAATATCACTTCCTTTTACGTATGCAATAATAGTTTCCACCGAAATGTTTCTTGTGTCATTACATAAATAGCTTTTGCAATCCACAGCTACGTAACAGCATGAATGTTTATTCTCCACGCTATAATCAACTCACTCTGAAAATCACTGCCTCATGGGCAGTGGTTAACGTGTTGGCTGGTCATGCCGAATACGTTTCTTTTCCCCATAAAAATACAATGTGAAACCCATTCCTTGTTGAGATTTGTTTGCAATAATTATTTGATTGTTGACTAACGCCGCTCAGAATTCGAGTCTTGACCAGACAGTCGTGCGTTTACTGACTTTTTTAAAACTAAAAACGATGTCAATTTTTAATTACGTCTGCTGTCCACAAGTGCAGAGATTCTGCTGCTTACGAGGAAAGAAAAAACATTTAAGAAATATGTTCGTTTTACAATACAGTGGAGAGACAGCATTCAAGTCTCGTCCCAAGCACAGACAAACGAAGTCATTTAGGATACGGGCATGGGCTTACTTTGGAGGCCTACTTCATGAAATTGTATCAAGTATCCGCCGTTCTTATCCATAATGAGACCGCCTCCGGAGAGCGGAAGGTTCGGGGTTCGATCCCCGGCCGCGTCATACCAAAAGACGTTAAAAGATGGTACTTGTTGTTACCCTGTCCGGCGCTCGGCATTAAGGGGCTAAAACAAGCACTGGTCGGCTCGGAGTCAATATACTGTGTCTGAGTGGGGGTATGTTAAACTGCATGGTATCTCAGTGAGCTAGCCTTATAAATCGGCATCAGTCCGAAATAGTACAAGCAGCCACACCCACACACGTGCATGCACGTCGCTTTATAAGTGCAATAATCTTGGACGCGACGTTAAACCCAATTGCACCTCACCTCACCTATCCATAATGAAGAAAGATTAGTGAAACTAGATTGTGTAATATTATCTCTGTACGATATAATATGATTTCACCTGGAACATGAGTGCCTAGTGTACGACCATGTAAGTGTCTGCAATAGAATCAGTAGAACCAAACAGTGGCAGTGTTTGTAGTTTACGACTGTAGAAAACTTGTATAAGACTGATATATTAACACACCATGCTACCATGGTAGATGAACCAAATCTTGATGTCTCAAATGGCATGTGATATGTTAACGGACTGTGAACCATGCTAGTATATAAACCCCAACTGTTATTCCCTACTCTACAGGTGCGCCTGGATTGCGACATACAGACTGACATGGAAAACTACTGCAACAACATCTGGAGGAGGAAGCGGTTATTTTTTTTCATTCTGCTTGGTGTCGTGATTATCAGTATTATTCAAACGCACCTCCGTTTTGATTCCTTCATTCAAGGATATACCTTCAACACGTCAAACTGGTTTCCACAAAGAACAGATCGTCAACAGCACCAAACAGCCGATTGTTATACGCGGATCACTCACGGTATTTCCTGTAAGAAAATTGTAGCGGGTGATGCTAAAGAAATAAAAAAAGCAAATGAAATTATGACCAAAGAGTTTCGTTCAAGCTTTTTGCCTGAAATTTACCCATCTCTAACACATGACTGTCAACGGTATAAAAGAACACGAGGTTTCATAAACAGCACCATGACTCCCGGCGAAAGGCTGTTTCCCATTGCCTTCAGTATTCTGGTGTATAAACATGCAGAACAGGTGGAGAGGCTGCTGCGAGCAGTATGGCGGCCACATAATGTATACTGCATACATGTAGACTCGAAATCTAGTAGCATATTCAAAGGTGCGATACAATCAATAAGTAAATGTTTTGACAATATCTTTCTTCTTCCTAAACCAGTCAGTGTTCGGTGGGGAACCTACACAGTGCTTGAACCGGAACTACTATGTATGGAAGCTTTGTGGAAACATAAAACTCTTTGGAAATACTTTATCAACCTAACAGGCCAAGAATTTCCTTTGAAAACTAACTATGAATTATATAGGACACTGGATGCGTTTAATGGCACAAACGATATTGGCGGAGGATATAAAAGGTAAGTTTTACATATTTATCTCTACTGATCCAGATTATGATCGTTGTTCTGTCAACATTCTAGCCGTGCACGAGGAACCAGTGCGTTGTATTCTACACGATCATAAATTAGAAGTGTCACGTTCTAACTGACGCTGCAACAGTATATTATTATAAGGTTACACTGTCAGTCATGTTTACACTAATTCGACAGATGTAATCAAAATAAATATGCATTGTTGTTTTATGGCAATAGTCATAACTGCATACATTGAGATTCAAAATGAACTTGCTTTAGACGCTAATAAGTTGTGTTTCAGATATACATTCTCATAACGCGTAATGTTGTCAGTTGGTTTGTGCATGAAACAGGGAAATGCAAAACAAAAGAAATCAACGGGTAGTGAATTATCAACGAATATTCCGAAACCTGTCGAAAATAGTCAGTAATTTGTATGTCTTGTCCAAGAATCCTTAACGTCATAAACCTATCAACACTCAATACGAAATTCATATTTCTTTTCTTTGATATTGAAAATGTATCAAGACTTTATATTCTAAAACATTAATGACATAAATAATAGATTAAATGACTTTGTTATTTTAACGTATTAATCAACCAGATAAATATGATAAAAATTATAGAACAAACGCGAGGTAACTTCCAATTCGTTGCCATATTTGTAGCGATATATAGCTCATCTTACTTTAATTCACCGCACCATTTGAAACAAATAGAGATTTTCAAGTTAGTGAGTTTATCTCTAACATACATGAAGGATATTTACCTCCCCAAAACACGGAACCTGGTAACTTATTATCATGGGATGTCATTCTTAAATTATATGTATTCTCATTTCTTCCAAACCTTACCTTGACCTGGAAAGTTTTCCTGGACTGTGCACAATGATATATTACGTCAGTCGGACAGTGACAGCAGTCAATAAATGTAAAACTTAACTTGTTTTAGACATATTTTCGGTAACTATTATTTTTATAATGATAGCACATACATGGAAAAACGTAACAATATGTTTCAATGAATGTCACTTGAAACATAAGTGAAGGTTTTTTTATCTTCAAATGTCTGCACTTGACTTCGTCTGCTCGGAGAAAGGCATAGACATCGATAGTAGTATCAAAATAAAACACGTCGTTCTGGCTCGATGCATATGGCTGATAGATAAAGGCAACGCCTTGTTTGTTGGTAAACAATGACGAAGGACCTACCTTACAATATTTATTTGTATAATTATCCGTAAATGACCCCAACGGGTACTGTTTTCTTACCCGTTAGCTTTATCCTGAAAACCTAACTGTTAAACGATAATTTAAATTATTCAGTGTGCGTCCGTTTCCGACTATATCACGTCTTCGAGACAGAAAATGTATGTGTATCGCGCTAAACATCACCGTTGATTATATTACGTGAATTTTTGATAACTTGTTCTTTAAAAAGTAATTATGCAAGATTGATGAACGGTATGAACGTTTAAACGAGTTTAATTTGTTTGACACTTGTCCATTCAAAGAAAGACCAGGAAAGAAGTAACTGGCAACTCTAAGAAATGAAAATAAGTACATGTAGAAGGACGGTCCAGTAAGATGGGCATAAAAAAAGAGAAATAATAAGGATAATAACACAAGCTAGGCCTGTGGGGATCTCTAAGACAAGACAATTTTTATTTGATTAAGTGTTTAAAAAACGAATGACAATGCCTGGACGACAAAATAGAATCGATATATATCCCATAAATCCCATAAATGCTAGATGTATGAGTTTCATCTGCGATCAGGAGAGGTAACAGCCTACCACTGAACAAACTCAGTTTTAGTTCATCTAGTTGAGGGACAATGGAAGATGCCAGCTCTACCTGATCCCTATGTAATGCTGACAAGGACATAAAAGAGGATTTTCAGGAATTGATGTCTTTGTTAAGGGTAGCTGCCGCAAATGAATGGTACGTGTATCGTGATTAGTCTTGATTGAGCTTTACCAATATATTTACATCATCAGTGCCTGCTGTTCAAAACAGAGTCTTGGAAATGCTACCTACAAAATTTAAAAAATCTCAAACTTGGACTTAGAAGGGACATGCTGCTTAGTATTTGGCATGATGCATGTATAAAAATGAATTTCTCTGTTGTGTTAACAATATGCCTGGTTTTGACAGCGCTTACGAATGTCTGAATTTGCCATATCAGAGCACAATTACCATTACTGGTATTACATCTATGCATGATTGAAAGCTTTGGTGGCTGAGCATTGTTTTTCTGGCAAGTATGGACATAGTGCTACGAAGCGAAATTAATTGTAAAATGGGGTTGATAGGAGACTCCGCAGTTATAACGCTGAACTGGCTCGGTAGAGGAGATCGTAATGATGTGGAGCAGACTCCCTCCGAAAAGTGGACCCAGATGCATATACTCAGTGTACCAAAGGTTTAGTAATGATGTGATATATGACATTCTTTTGGCATTGGCGATTTCCAAGTTACATTGCTTTATTCTCATGTTCTACGCTTGTTGATATTGTTCTCACGTCGATATGATGCATAAATTCTGATGGTCTGAATGGTATAATTTGTCTTTAGTGGTTTACAGCGTTATTGATTTCAACATTTATTACCCGACATGAATCTTAGACTATTGATACAACATGAATTATATATGTTATTCATACATATCCATATTCAGGGCAAATCTATCGTGAAGGACGCATAGTAATGAAATATTGAACCAAAATACACAAAAAGCATGCATAAGATTAACTAGTCCATGTCTATCAGTCAACTGCAGACCTGCTGTTAAACTCTTCAAATATTCACGTTTGTAACACTATATAATCAATTTATTTGATCACTGTAAACGATCATTCTGCATTGCCCAGATTGTCAGTAGGGCTGTATTCCTGTCAGCAAACCCCGGTACTATCCCAAAGTCAGTCAACGGAATTGGAGGTACCAAACCTAAGGCACCGAGAACGATGGGGAGTTGGAGTACTGGGGATGCAAGCGTGACATTTCCAAAGCGCGGTCTGCATTTTTGCCATGTTTGTCAATGTTGTCAATCACATTAGTGTCAAAAGGGACAAATTCAATAATATAAATGACTTTATTGGATTTATCAAACAGATCAGGTTTGTTGGCCTAGATAGGTCTGTCTGTATATGAGTCTTTTCCAAAGAATTTTGTATTGATCAAGTCGCTTAGGATAGTGGATTTGTGCCAAAGCTGGGCATCCACTTCTTCCAGCGAAAGACTCTGTATAGTTGCTGATCTTCTCAACACACTGCACATAAAATCGATGCAGTGGTCGTTCAGATAGCCTCTCCCTGCAAAAACTGAGTTTGATATGGCTCTTCGCTTGGTTGACCGTCCAGCAGTACAGAACCATCAACATTGACATTGAGATTATGTCCCACATCCTTGACTCGTTTAAGGAAACTGGAATGCCTCGTTTTCATCATGAGTCTTGACATGCTTCACAAGCATCATCAGATAACGAAATGTGTGCAAAAGTGCACAAAACAATTCTATCATGAAGAGCCTCAACGTTAATCAAACCACGCACTCCCATCGTAATTGGTAAATATAAGCGATTGAGGGAAGGAATGGTGGGATCTATTGTCTGACATGATTCTTCGTGTGAGGGTGTCAATACCCTGAATTTCTTGTTTCGTCCAATCAACAACAATTTGTCCCTTACCCGCATCTCTATGTACGTATAGGCCTGACTTTCCACCGAGATGGTCAATAACTCCTCCCCCAAGTAAACTGACTGATCCTTCCTCGACTACCTTACCACGGTTCAGATGAAGAATGTTGCATTTGTCGAGTCCAAAGGACATGCCGATGACATTAGAGAATGAGAATGTGAATCTATACTCCATTGGCAATAGGTTCTAGGTCATCCATGTAAAGGGGGTGAGTAAAGGTTGTTGGGGATCTGTGCTGAGAAGGTTCAGGGTGATAACCTTCCTCTTTGCTAATCAAAAAGCTTAAAGGATTTAGTGACAAACAGAAAAGCAAAAGACTAAAACAATCGCCCTGAAATATTCCTCTTCTAATAGAAATGGGTTCCGAAATGTCATCCTCTGCCCCTGTGAAATACATCTCAGCAATCTTGACCAGCAATTCATTAAAGACTTGAGTAAATCAAGTAGTCGCTCGGGGAGGTCAATACATTCCACTGACATCAAAATCCATTCGTGAGGTACAGAATCATAAGCTTTTCTGTAGTCTATCCAACACATTGAGAGGTTACGGTGGTAAGTTTTAGCCTCTTCAAGGATCATTTTCTGAACAAGTAGTTCCACGTAGATAATGCCATTCGAAGCACAGTACGATGACACGAGATCTGTAAGACACCCTGTAAATAACCGCTAAAGAAACGTCACCCCAAGTAACATTGCATGAAAAGTTGCAATTTAAATATCTGGGTATTCTTTGTCAAAGTTTCTAAAATTTAACCTTGTCCAGAAAAATTAAATTTGATAAAAAATCAAAGCAGATGACAAGAAAACCGATCGCCCAAACGCATCACGGCAACTGCCATGGTAACCCGATGCACGTGAGTTCCGTGCAAATTGAAATGCACATGCGTTCCCTCGTTTCTTGCCCTATAAAAATCCACCGGGACCGGATAACATTCATTCGTTATTGAATTGCTACCAGATGCCAAGATTGACAAGAAATCAGGGACACCAAGTCCTTGGACGATTGCAAGCTGGACAAACCGCCCGGCATTTCAAGTCCACCTAAGGACCATATACAGGCTCCAGCAACGGTACCAGACCACCAACGGTATAGATGACCAAGCACGTAATAGAAGACCAAGGGTCACCACCCGACGTCAGAATCGTCAGATTGTGCGACAGCATCTTCAAGATCTCTTTGTTACTGCCGCGGAAACTGCTTGACAGACCACGGGGACACACCAGAGACACATTAGTGCGGACACGGTGCGTCGACGATTGACGAGCAGACACCTCCACTGTCACAGGCCACACCGAGGACCCAT